ATAAAGTAGCCACAAGACGCCTTGCCCCCGCACCCTTTACTCCAGGAGTGTTCTACTAAAGATGCAGATGAACTCGCAAATAAGAGTTGGCAACGCACTCCCTGGAGAACCTTTTCATAATAATTTTTAAATATTGTTGCTCTGAACTTAAGCCTTATTCTACCTGTTATAAAAATAGAAGTAATGAAGGTTTTAAAGAAGAAAATAACCAAATTCCTCTTGCACTTGGGCAAGGTCTTTTAAAGCTCCTTCTGAAGCACTACTTAAAAATTACTGTGGTAGTAAGTGCTGTTCTCTCTGAAGTACATTTCAAGACATTCTGAAGTTAGCTGCACTCATACTTTACACCCTTAAGATTCAAAGTGCAATACTTCAAGGTGTGCATTCTCCCCATCCTTAGTGCTCACAGCCCTCAGTGCAGATGAGGCCCTACACACTTTGAGCGTACCATAAAGGGTTCAACAAAATCACATTCACAACACTGCAGTGAGTCAGGCAAGTACTGGACACCTAGTTGTGCTTCTGATGAGGAGTCTTTCTGCATGCAGTCTGGCTAAAAATGTGCTGTATTCCACCCCTCAAAATGTACAAGGAAAGATATGGAATGGAAAAAGAATAGATGAGAATTTGTGCATGAAGGGATGATTATATTTACAGGAAAGACCAAGCAGCATTGGATGATTTTTCAGTTATCATTAACTCATTTTTATTTTCTATGTTACGTCACACTATTCCTTCTTCTTCCATGGAAGAGGTTTTCTACATCTTCGATGCTTGGTGTTGCTCAACAGCTATGAGGGACTAGGTTTTACTCATGAAAGTTCATCCTCTCAGCCTCTTTTCAGGCTTTTACATCATTCAGAGAAATCTTCAACTACACTTGGCACTTTGCAAGGGGATCTGACAGCACACAGTGAGTTTGATGCTGAAAGCACAGCACACACTGAAGACACTGATCAGCTGAGCCACATGGGGGTAGAGGATGCTGCCTCTCTGCATATCATGTAGATTTTTCTGCATACAAACCACCCATGCAATATTCAGGCCTTCTTTCTTTTCCAAGTAAACAGCACTTTGTTGCTAGAAATGGTAGGAGAGGGAGAATAGGCTCACAGTATCTCCTGTTGAGGCATGTAAAAGAAGAAAGAGACTTCACTATGACAAGTATGCTTAATTTTGCTTCTGTTACAGCCTTGAAAGAGGGGCTTTAGATTTACTTTAGAGTGTTTACAGCTGTAGCAGGTACATTCTGGAGAAATGGGCAGCAGCACCTTTACCATTAGCTGCTTTTTTACCCAACTAGAGCATTTAAAACGCCATATTATTCTTGAGGCTTTCTTTACCCATTAATCTTTGTGTGTGTCAAACTCACACAATAGAAATTCCAGACAAAAAAGTCCTTGTAATTAATATTGCAAAAACAACTCTACAAAAAAGTACATTAAAACCATTATACAACTAGAAGAGTTTTCTACTTCTAATAAGACAGTCAAAGTTGCACAAAAAGATTATTTGTTTTACTTAATCTTTGCATGTGAATACATTTCCTCAATTACCATGAATGTAAAACACCCCAAAACCCCACAGCTCACCACCAGATAAAACACCTCCATCACAAATTTCCCTGCACAAGCTGATTCTGCAGTTCTGTTCCAATCTACATTATCACAGCCCTTTAAAGCTAGTCTCCTCTGAAATAGTTTCCAGACACGCAATTTTAAAGTATATTTACAAGCTGCAAGCATTCTTTTGAAGATACATGAGAAGTGCCTATATAGATCATAACTAAAGTTGCCATCAAATTCTGAGAAGTGAAATTGGTTCACTGACTTACATTTCAATATATGTTTCAAGTAATGGCTTAGCAATATATAAATGCTTATTTCTATGCTTGAAAAACATAATAAACACCTTTTAAGAAAGCAAACAACTTTGCCATGAAAAATGTCAATCTATTAACTTGTCTAAGGAATTTACAAATAAAAATTATACAATGATTTTAATTCTGGAATCAGCAAAACTCTGATTTTGTTGTCAAAACAGACCAAACAACACTTAAAATTCTAAGATTTCTCCTAATTTCTGCCCTGTCCTTAAAGCATGGATGCTCATAAATATGACATAAGCCAAAACATTACAATAGTTAAAGACTGTATAATACAGGAATATAGCTGCACCTAATTAAACATGGTACCCAAGTCAAATAAGACACAAATTTAACTCCAACATTTGTACACTCACCACTTTCCAATCCTGGTAATGCTTCTGAAAAAATGCCATATCAAGACCTAAACATATATATAAGAAAAGAAACCACCCAGTTTCAGGTTCCCTCTTGTGTTTTCATAGCATTAATGTTTGCATAGTTCCCACTATGCATGGAAACCCTACTGAAGTAACAACTCTTACCCCAATGCAATGTGCTTCCCCACACCCACCATCACTGCAATGCAAAGATATGCACCTATTTGCCAATACAAGTTTATTTTCATAATTGAATACTATTCTAGGCTGTCTAGCTTGGATTGTGAATATTTTTCATTTCTAAGTGGCACAGTCTCACTGGTCTGCTGCCAGTGTTCTTGGTACATTCTCTCAAGTATCCTTAGGGGGAAAGGAAAAAAGGCATTAACCTTCTATTAAAAACAAGAGAAAGAGTACATTTAAACTAGATACAAACACAAAATAACAAGCCTTGCACACAAACTGTTCTTTAATTCCTCCTAATAATACAGAACAGTGACAAAGTTTTCAATCCACACAGGGATACTATACTCCAAACAACTCGGAAAGCTAAAAAGAAAATCTCACCTTTTAAACACTTCAGATACACTCCTCTTAAACACTACCTTCCTTTCAAGTATTTTATTTTATAACATTGGTTAACAGGTTACACATTATCCCACATAACTGCCATAAACCTACCGCTTTGTATCTGTTTTTTCTATTTTTTAAAATTCTCGTTGCTTGACTGAATTTTCATCTAGTCAGAAAAATTTAGTCTCATACTTGCTTTACCATCTTTATTTGTTGACAAATAATGTAATCTCCAATATTTCAGTACGTTATTAAAATTTTAAATTATTAAAAATTATAGGGTTATTTTAAACCCAGCTTTTAAGCTTCCAAGTTACAAGAAAGGAAGATCTAAATACAGTACAGTACCAACTGCACAAATGAAAGATATGAAGATGACAGAGCAAGCAGGACACAAAATAGTACACTCCTCAGCACACACATTTACACAGAAAATGAGAAGTTGCTGGCTTAAGTAATTCAATGAGAAAAGGCACTAGAATATCTACCAAGCGCACATATTGAAGATTATGTTGCTGAAACTGACCTATTATCTTTATTATAAGTGAATGCAACTTAGCTGTTAATACCAAATTAAATTCTAAGGAAAAAAAAACTTTCTCATCCACACCAGTATGATGACAGATTTACCCATAATCCCTTTTTCTAACCTTCCCAGGAGCAAAAGCACAAAGAATTACATGACTTATTAATGATTATGCTAAAAAAAAGTGTATAAATTTTACTTTTATTTATATAACAACTTCTGTTGGATACATGAAATGTTAGCTTGGAAGAAGCAGCTGTCTAAACAGCACAAAATATTGACTTAATGCATCAGAAAAATAATACACATGAAACTCAATAACAACTTAGTTTCAAAAATGTATCTGAGCAGTAGCAGAACATAATTTCTTGCAATTAGACAGAAACTATTTCACAGAGAATCAGTTTCATTTGCCTACTTTGGAAAACTTAACCTTTTGAACCATTCTTAGGGTATGCTGACCCCTAAAGGTCTAAAAATACTAAACCTGATTAAGCCATTACACGTTTAAATTGTCAGAATACAATTCTCCACTAACTTACACCACCATGAATATTGTTGTTTACAGAGTATATGATTCAAAAACTTTTGAACTTCACTCAGTAACAGCTCAAAATTCCATAAATTAAAAGGGGTTGATAAGTAGTTTATTTTACAGAATAATATAGGTAGAAATTAATTTACATATGAAAGTATCGCCTACAAAATGAAGCATTTCTTCTTTCTTCTAAACAGACTCTCCATGAGAAACTTGACATTTATAATCTTTTGAGAGAGAATATATAGTATAAAACTCCAAAAAAGGAAATGTACAAGAAGCTATGAGGCTCTGATATAGAAGGAAATTTTGATGTTGACACACCTATGCCATTTTGAATTTTTTAACCTACACATAGTCACTCATTAGCGAAAATCCACCCTAAAGTGAGGATCTCTTTATATGTCTTTCCCTTCCTTCTACAGGTCACAATCTAGTCATAAGCTACTGCTGAAAATTCTCTTCTACAAAGTCAGTAAGTCAGTCATGTAATGTACTCTCAAATTCAGTGGGGTTTTTTCCCCTTAGGTTTCTGTCATGAAACATGGAAGAATGTATCTGAGAACAATTATGTCTGGTGAATCAACTAAAAATACAAAAAGATACTTGCATCCTGATGAAGATGAAAACTCCATCAACCGGGAAAGCTCCAAGTTAACCAAGGTCACCTTTATCTCCAAGCCTTTCCTTGCTGTCTACATTCAGTTGTGTTACTAATGAGAAACTCATTAATATTAGTAGATGGCTTAATCAGACCCAAGCCAGGTGTGAATAGCCAAGAAAATTACTTTAAGACAAATTTTCAGATTTATTGATAATTTAAAAAAAAAAAAAAAGATTGGAAAGTAAAATACAATGTACAGACTAAGAATTTAAACAAGTCTTCTGAAAGTTATAAAAAAAACATTTTCAAAAATTCAGAAAATAAAGGTGAAGCTTTATATTCATGTAGCTGCTCTCCTGTTACTCCAAGTTCTTTTAAGGAGCAGTATGTGGTTGGGGTTTTTTTTCTTTTCTTCCCAAGTCAGTCATATATCAGCAAGAACAAACACACTCCAGTCACTGCCTAGCACTGGTATAACACCTAAGGTTCCTTATTAATATCTTTAAAGTCCCTACCTTTTGACCAGCTCTCCATTTGTTCCTCTGAACTTGTTTGATCTGGCACTGAGTGCAGTTTTTGCTTGAAGGTTTCAGAGCTAAAATAAAACAAACTCTAGATAAATAAACTTGAAACAATATAATACACCTATACTTTGCCTTCATTTGACAAAAAATTTACAAAACAAATTATTTTAAATATTTATAGCAGCACAATGAAGTATGCATACTTTAACAGCCAGTGAAAAATTATATTTCTCTATAAAAATTTTTTTTCTTCACTCATCTAATTTTTATATTTGTTTGGTTCAGCCTTCTGTTGCATGTGATGTCTTTGTTGAAATATTTATTAGTTTGTTTTTTTTTTCTAGAGTCTGGTCTTGGAAGTACACATTACTGAGCACAGTCCAAATCACACCAAGCAGTCCTGCTACAGACAACAAGACTGCTCACTTTGGCAGTTATTACAGATAGTGGCATGTGCTTCACTTTACAGCATTCTTTCTCTTTTAATTTCCTAGATAAAATGCAGGTAAAGTGGTCTATGGCCACTCCAACTCTGAATTTGAAGTTCTTTCTGAACAGCTAAGTAATGCATCCCAATATTTGCATGCGTATTGCTTCAGACTATAGTTAATTACACAGTTGCAATATTTCATATAATCAAAGATCTTCAAGAAGTAACCCCCAATAAGGCTTACAGTAAAATGTTATGTTTACCAAGCACCATTTTGGGTATTAAAATATATGCTTTCTTATGTGTAAAAAATTCAATTATACTCTGTATCGCAAGGAAATCTAAATAAGTTTGTAATCTTGATAACATAGTAAGCTAACCACAAATTGGATTACTTACTCAAGCACCTTTTTAAAAAATATTGTATATAGGACAATTTTTATCCTTAACTATGCACTGTGCTTATTTCGTATGTTTTCCCTGCTGTATTTTTTTTACATTTATTAAAAAGATACATGTGCCTTGAAGATACAGTGACTAGATTATGAAAACACTCAGACAGTTGTCATTGTGCTACAAATGTAAGAGATTAAATTAAAAAATTAAGTACATATTTTACAATTCAAGCAAATTATACCAAGACACATATCCTAAATAATAAAGAAGCAGGAGAAATTATTTTGCCATATAACACCAAAAAAGCAGATTATTTCATTTTTATATTTAAAATTACTAAAAAATTAATTGTACAAACACTTAAGATTCAACACCAACATGTACATCAAACATTCAAGAAATACATATTTAGCTCATATTTGTTGTTGACTATAAATCAGCATGATAAAAAAAATGCAGAGGATTTGATGTGTTTAGGTCTTAACAAAAAATAAAAAGTTCACCTCATATCGCAGAACACTGAGTCCCTTAAAAGAATCCCTCAAATGAAGCTGTATGCTTCTTCTTCTTCAATTCTGTGTAACTGTGTTGATTTGAAGTTGGCAATCTTTTCCTAAGTTCCTCATTTACTTTTGGATTAGCTGAAAATATAGAGGGTTATTAATATCAAGAAATAGGTTTCTGTCAATGAAGCCATTTCCCTACATATTGCACAAAAAGGTTCATAATAATTGCAGTATTTTAATAAGATATTCATATAGCAAGACATGAAGAAAATATGGTATTTAATAACCTCTGGAGTATTTTAAAACATGTCTTAGGGCCTTAATGTGTCTAGTAATATACTATTTAAAACCATAATTTTATCCCTCCACAATATACAGTCATTCTTCCTCGCCATTTACCCAGCTAATGAATGCCAGCAATTAGTAAAATGTAATCCCATTGCACAATCATTTTAATGCTTTTAGCACTCAGAAAAGTAAACACCAAATTAATACTGCTCAAGCCATATCAGATCCTAGCTGGAAGCAAGCAATTATAGTTCAGCTCCTCAGGTGTAATTAAATGATTGGAATGATTTAGTTCCATAAATGCAAGTTAATTCATAAGCAAGCAACAAATATACTGGGAGTAATTACAAGAAACATTGACAGTCTAAGCAGGGCATGTGCCTTTCTGTACCTGATATAGGAAAATGCTGCCCTCTCCCGGAAATAATAGACTATGGCACAGGAAAAATTTATGACTGAAGTCAAGAGGCTTATTTTACAGACCTTGTCTTCATAGGTGAAATAGGTTCTGTTAACTAATAGGAATTTTCTGGTTTAAACATAGAGAAAATAAAAAAAAATGGTTGATATCAGACTGAGGTCACCTATGGATCAAAGTAAAACGGAAAGATTTTTAGGGCTTCCTAGGGTGTGCCAATTAATTTCCCCGTAATTTAAAAACAAAAGTTAGGATACAGAAAAACAAAATATTCCAGACATTAGCTATTTAAACTGGTTGCTCTGAACGCAAATGCTGCAATAGGTAGCTGACTTGTGCACAAGACTTACTTCTCCTTCAAGATGTACCTTTACAGAAGGTATGTTGAACATAAGGTATTCTTAGAACCAAAACTTATTGAACCATCATTATTCAGTGAGTGTTAAAAGCCAGCATTTCAAAAAATGATCAGAAGTAGCCATTAAGGTTTTAACACAAGGAATCATCAGAAAAATTGAATACAATTATAATAAACCCTTTCTTTCATTTGAAAACAATCTGCTAATAATCAATCTGTGTAATAATGAGAGGAAATAAAATCTGGAGATTAAAATAAAGTATACTGGCTGACCAAGACAAAACTGAAAATATAAAGTGAAACCATAACCCAAACGCTAGAGGTAATTTAAAATCTAATTTCCTTATTCACTATTTATTTATCCACCTTGTGCTAGTGTAAAGCTACTAGGACACCATGAAAGAAAGTGAAAAAAAAAAGAAAATGTTACTATCGGTTGAATATAAAATGCAACATTGACATAAAATTAATAGATAAGCACAATAATGAAAGAACTCTCAGACGTAACTGTTTTGCCATCTACAGAAATAAGAAATGCTTCCAAATGCTGCATATAGCAGCATGGGAAAAAAATCACACACTGTGGTCAGTATGTATCTGTTTTCCACACAGAGAAAGCTGATTCAGAAGCACTTGATCAATGTAAAAGCCTTAAAATTGTTCTTTACCAACAGCACTTTGGCATAAAAATATTTTTTTTCCCAGATCTTGGTGTATTTCAAAACAAACCCAAGCTGTACACAAATTCCTTTGGTGCTACTTTACTTACTGTGGAAAAGAAAAAAATTATTTTAAGAAGTCGTATTATTAAAAGTTTAAAATGTACTGCACATTTGCTTTGCCCTTTGATGTCACAGTCCTATTTTTCTATTCAAATCTTGTACACTGTAAGTTAATTGCTTTTGGAAACTACTTATTATTCATGTAAAAATTAATGTGCCAATGTGTTTAAATCCTTTTAAATGACCATTCATGCATCTTTCTTCTTTAAGTACCAATGAAATCTGTCAAAGATATCAATGCAAGATGGTCTTAGACAAAGTTCTAATATAGATTTTTTCTGCTAACATAAGATTTTCATTTTCGTCAACTTTACTTAAATTCCATTAATTTTTTAAGCTGCTTTTAATAAATTCACAAGTAAAAAATTTTAGGCTCCATAGTCTGTCATTTGTGTTCCAGCTGACTTTATGAATATTAATAACAGTGTTATCCTGATTAAATAGGCTTCATATAAAATCCCTGTGAATCCTATAGCTCAGACATCTCATTTTTCCAACTCTTTATGAATTTGGATTCAGACATTAAACTGGAAAAAACCTTAAAAAACAGATTCAATGGTACATTGGTGTACCCTTAAGCAAAAAATTAGCCGTTCTAATGATTCAAATAATTAAAATTGATAAAACCACATATTGAGATTTCAGGCTTTCTGTACACATGCAACATATTTTAACTCTAATGAAAACATCAACACTTCACAGACAAGGGATTAAGAATCTATTATAAAATAATAATACCTGTCCTAATGCTTACCTTAAACAAACAGATGATATAATCTTAAATCTTCACACATGGAGTGCTGATTTGGAGAAGTATTTTCCAAAGAGAAATAAATTAGTGGATGCTTAATTACATAAGCATACACATGAAATACATGAACATTCTAGTTTATCACAGGAGCCCAGTGAAAAACAGCATTAACTATTAAATGGTTCATACTTCAGGAAAACCAACCTTTTTCTTACGAATGTCAAATTGAAACACACATGAAATACTAATATTATCCTATGAGACTCATGCAGTCCCAGTTTCAAACTGTTAATTTCTTCCCAAGCTTATATGTTTGAATTACTTACATCTATGACAGATAAAAATGGAAAATTAAGCTAACTGCACTGCCTTCACTTTTTTACATAGTGCTAACTGGAATGACTGTTTCCTCATCCATTCAGGAAAATATTCTGCAAAAACACCATTAAAATACTTTGCCTTTCAGTACCTTGGAATATGAATGGATTTTAGGGGAAAAAAAAATCTAAACAAAATAAGAGCTTATTCAAAAGAATGGCATACCAATCCTGGTTCTAATTATTCATCAACACAAGCACTTCAGAGGAATTAAATAAAAACAAGAGGTATATAAAAGTAACATATATGTCAGATAGAAAGCTTACAGTGCTCAGTGCTTTACTTGTGCAGTTCCAAATGGCTTTTATTACAGCTGTAGCAGTATTTCCTCTCTCTGAGGCAAAACCCCCAACCTCCTGAGTGTCTGCAGAATAACAGACACTATACAAAGGAGCATGCCAAGGTAACTCCAACCCCACCAAGCACCACAGCAACACTAACGCCAGTGCCTTCTCTCCCTGGAAGGACTGACAAGTCCATCTTCTAAGCTGGAGTTCAGGTACTGAGTCCCCTCCTCAGGAACAGAAAGCCTGCTGGGACCACTCTACATGGAGACCCAGTGACTGCAAACCCCCATTCCTTGGTCTTGCCTTGAGAGAATTTGAAATCAATCACTGAATCATGGCCTTAGCTGCTGTGACAGGATGCAAACATTTGCTGCTCTAGACTGAATCCCATTCTTCACAAAAAACTCCCAGTCCTGGAAGAGGTTTTCCACTCAGAGGGCTATCCCACCTGCCCCACCTCTGGTGGAACAAGAGACCAGTTCCCATTACTCCCTGGAACAGCACTAAGCCTGTTTTTGTCCCCCTTAGAGATGCAGTTAACAGCTGCCACTGACAGTGTAGGGATGAAGCACCATATAGTTTATGAAGGGGGAAACAGAGAATTAATTTTAGCATTATTCCTGTAAGACTAATTAGATTGGCAGGATCTTCTAAAATATCCTGACACGTTTTGCCTCGGGGCACACTAAACCAAAAAAACTAACTTAGGAGGGTACTCTACATAAAAACCAGTTACCTTCTCAAAGCATTTCCCCAGGGAACAAACAGTCAGTTTTCTTAGCCCAGGTGGATGTCAAGTCTTAACTAAATGACACAGTCCTCTAAAAAGAGTCACATTTCCTCCCTATCTTAGGAAACTTTATGGTGTATCAGAAATCTAAGGCAACTCTAAGTTAAAACTAGTTTTGGACAGTTATAAAAACACTAGTCAAAGGATAAGAGAGATAGCCAATTCAAGTATTTTTTACAAGTGGAATAATACTAATCTGTTACATACTTAAAAGCTGTGAAATGAAATGTACTTTGATTACACAGATACTTATTTTATTCTAGTCTATTACTTTTATAAGCTTTTAAACACAAGTAGTTCATGCAAAATATTCTGTTTCTTTTAAAAAGAATATAAATATAGACAAGTGGATTAACCTTAGAAGTGGATGAAAAATTTATAAACTCCCACATCGCTAAAAAGACTTCAAGATTTTGCTTAATAAAAGTAACTTTATTATCTGGAAACTTGATAATAACATTTTCCTAGAGGGCAGAGTGAAGCAGTTATCCCTGGCTTTTCTTCCCTGCTGATTCTTGACCCAAAAGGAGATAAGACATATGCAGTTGGTTTCAACTAACTTATATAAATAAAAATGACATGAAGAAACAGGGGTCAGATAATTTTCTTCTGTTGCTGCAGTGGTTTCTTCATATTGTCACTACAAAATTTGCATCTGGTGCTTTTAATGAAAGCATACTGTAAGCCAAAGAACACTTATTGTCCTTGTCATGCTTTTGACAAAGGCACAAGAGGAGGCATAAAAACACATAAAACTAACTGGTTTATAATAGGTATCACCTATTCCTAAATTAAACTTAGTTGGATAAAGGACAGGTATTTTCCTCTTTATTCTTTCTCCCTAACTTGAACTAAGTGTCTTCAAGGGTCAATTTTCTCTCTGTGCATCAAGAAATGTTTATGTGCCTACCAGCTCACAAACAGCCCCCTATCTCTTCTGCCCTCTGATATATTCTCATTTTCATATTAACAGTCTTCATTTGTACTTTATTTACTAAACAATCTTCCGCTTGCTTTGTTGTCTTCTTCCCCAGTTTGTAGCTGTCCTTTGTTCTCCAATTCTTTTCTTTTTCCTCAGTTTTGTCTCCTCTTTGACAATACCTTTTACTTTCCCCCTGCCCACCACCTCTTTGAAAGGCAAAGAAAACTGTAGAGAGTTTTATCAAAGACTGTCTCCCTTTTTTTGCAGCTTTTCTCATCTTGCTGTGCATTCTGTGAAGCAGCTTTCTTCTGTGACACTCTAACATTATTTTCATTCTGATAATGAAACTATGACATGCTTCGATCAGGTTTGAACAGCCAAATCATTTAGCCATCCTTCAGTTTTGTAAACTCTTCACTGGCCTTAAAACTTAAAAAAGTATTATGTATCACATTATATACTGTTACAGACAGCCATATCTCATTTCTAAAAATTTTACAACCAGATTGTAATTTCTGTAGCCCTTACAGATCGGAACAAATATCTGCATTTTAAACTAGCTGTTGTCTTATCTGGAGCCAAAATAATACTTTAGTAGAATCAGCACTACATAGTGGTAAGGGCTACCTGTGTAGTGTACTCTGTTGACAGGATCATAGTCAGCAGATAAAGGGAAATCATTAAACCCCCCTATTTGGCTCATCTGAAGTGCAGCATCTGGTTTAACCTGCTCATGGATATCCTGAGCTAAGTCCAGCAGGTGATTCAAGACGATTAGGGGTCTGCAGGACAGGAGTTATGAGGAGTTTGCAAGAGTTTGATTAGTTGGTTTTAAGGAGAAAAGGCTAAATAGGGATTTTATAGGGTTTTAGCTGCCTTGTGAGCAAATATAGAGAAGACACAGATCCTTCTGAGAGAGACAAGCTGTAACAAAGAAAACTCAGAGTTATGGGTAAGAGAAAATTTTTCACAGTGAGGAAGGTCACTGGAACTAGTTGCTTAGAAAGGTTACAAAATCTCTGTAGCTGGATATGGGCAAAACTCATCTGGATATATCAACCCAATCAACTTTTGGGGATTGCCCCTTCTGAACTGGATGATATGCAATTCCTGCCTACCTATTTTGTTATTCTAAGGATTGCAACAAAACAAACCCACCAGAACTAGAATTCCTGAAATGGAAAAAATACGAGGCTGCTTTCTGCCTTACAGGGTAGGTCAGTAGAGCCCCGACCAGCCAAAAACCAAACAGCAGTGAGACACAACCAAAGACCACCCATGAGGCAGACAGGCTAAATGCCAACAGGGAGGAAAGAGTGCAACAGCAGCATGTGCACAGCATTTTGAGCCCTACTGGTCTTGAGCACCCAATTTTCTTCAGCTTACTACATGACTGGATGCTTTGGCATTAGGCTAAATGTCAAATATTGGTTTGCACATCATCCTTCACTAAACCAAAAATGGACCACTGACACAGTTTTTTTTTACCTGTCTTTCTGAAAGCTCTGGCCTCAAGCCCCACAAAATCCATCCTTTCCCCAAACTTGTAAAAATGTCACTGTGACTAAGGAGCTCCAAAGGTAACTATGGAAATGATTCAAAAAACAGGAGTGTACAGTGCTTAGGCATGCAAAATTATTTGTACAGAATATTTAGTATACTGAAATTTCCAAATCCCCAAATCATTATTTCTTTTATCACAGAACCAAGTTGCTAGCCCAGACTTTACCACGCTAGCCCAGATTTTACCAGAAAAGCAAAAATAAAATCATAAAACATTATATGTACATGAAAATGTGAAGTAGTAACTCAGTGCCAAATTCAAAACCACTAGTACAAATAATAGCATTAAGCAGAAATTATGTCTTCTGCCAAAAACATTCCAATTGTTTGGCTGCCTTCACAGAAAGAAGTAAGACTGAATGGGGACTCGACGAAGAAAAGCAGCAGAGAAGCAGAGAAACTTGATTTACCCAGCCAACTCACATTTCTCAAGGTACCTTCAAATAGCGCCATTTTTCCTGACAGTAAAAATAAAAAGCATAAAGGCAACAAACAGTGTGGATATTGGAGCCTGACCAAAAACTATCATGAAGACTGAACATGCAGAGGCCTGTCAGAAATGTGCCAACCTTTCAAGATTCAGTCCTGTACATGGGGACTGAGAGGGGCCTGTTGGTTTCCTGCAGGGAAATACAGACCACCAGTTATGTATCTGTCAGGCTGTTTTAAACAGCACAAAAACACAGATGTGCCTCCACTGCTGTCATAAAGCAGCATCTCCAGTGCACTGCTTCTACCCAAATTATGCAACTGCTCCAATTCTATACTGTATGCTGCAGCTGAGGAAAGGAACCACATCACCTGAAATTTCACAAACTAAAAAGCTCAGAGAAATAAAATAACACTGACTCCACATTAGCCCTATTTGTTCTTTACAAGCAAATTAACTATCCTTTTCTTAGATAACTACTTGAAAAGAAAGCTATCCTTCACTACAAGTGTAATTGCTCCCTTAACCATGCTTGCTCAGCAGTAAAAGCATAGGAACATAGAGTATTGCTCAGATGTGAACACATAAATTTTGACTCAATAACCATACAGTCTTGCCTGAAGTTCAGATTTTTTTTTTTTCTAAATCCAGTATATAGTGCCTTCATTGAATATGAATAGCAACTTCACCCTTCGTAAGCAAGAAGTGAAAGTTACAGAGAAATGGCACACTTCAGGACGTGTCCAAAGAAGAACAACAAAGCTCAGGAAGGGTCTAGAGGAAAAGTCTTATGAGGAACTGCTGAGGGAGCTGTGATGTTTAGCCTGGAGAAAAGGAGGCTGAGAGAAGATCTTACTGCTCTCTCCAACTACCTGAAAGGAGGCTGTAGTGAGCAGGGGTGTGCCTCTTCTTCCAAGTAACAAGCAATAGGTCAAGAGGAAATGGTCTCGGGTTACATGAGAGAAGGCGTAGATTGATTATTAGGGAAAATTTCCTCACAGAAAAGTTTGGCAAGATTTGGAACAGGCTGCTCAGGGAAGTGGTGGAGTCACCATCCCTGGATGTATTTAAAATATGTGTAGATGTGATACTAGGGAATATGGACAAGTGGTGGTCTTTGCAGTTCTGCATTAATGGTTGGACTTGATGATCTTAAATGTCTTTTCCAACCTAAATTATCCTATGATTTTACATTTGCTACACTCCAATAACAACATTTCTGAGCATTTTCAGCACTAAGGCATTGACTGTGTGCTTTACAACATGCTTAACATGCATGATATATCATATGCCTCACATGCAGTTGCTCATTCAGGTATGATTACTAGGTTAGGGATTTTGGAAAATTAATGAAGATGCTTCCCTGAAATTTACTGCAATATCAAAGAAATCTGAAAACCAGCATAATTCAAAATAACAAGCCACACATTCAGAAATGATCTTGGAATACCCGAGAAGGACAAGATATTCTGAGGTGGGCCAAAACTCAGTGAGAACCAGAGATGCCTCAGTAAAATAAATCTGTTGAGAATGCCCAGAATTTAAATGTAAGCTAAAGACTGAAGAGGCTAAACCTGCAAACATTCAGCACCAGAGCCATTGCTCCACTGTTTCCTGATGTTGCACCAACAGTGAAAGGTACAAGACGAAAAGGAGCCACCATAGACTGCGAATCAGTGCCAGGCAGTTGAAAATCACAGAAAAAACAAGCAAACAACAACAAAAAGAAAAAAATAAAAGGAAAAAAAGAGGCATTTGCTGAAGTTAGATCACAAGTCACAAAACAGATACTTCTGACAGTGGATCAATTTCCCTGCCAAACTTTAAGAAAGCAATGCAAAACATAATCACATATGAGGCTACCAATCAAACTGCTGCATGCTTTTTTATGTCAGGGAAAACATCATATTTATCCTTTAACTCTTGATCAGAAAATATCCAAAACCTTCTCTCAGCTGAAACCTACAAAATAAGTCAACTTCACCCAGTAGGTAGAAGTTCCTGCTGTGAAAAAAAAAATCTGTCTAAAATGTTAGAAGTTACAAACAATGGAAAACTTAGTTACAAAAGGTCTTCCAAAGCAAGATACAGAACAATTTTAAACACAAGCAGAAATGTCAGAACACACATAATGAAAACTCTGTCATTTCTGCTCCTTTTCAGCCAGGTCCAGGCTGAAATAAATAAATGAAATAGTCCAGTTTTAGTTTAATTTAGTATTTGAATATATGGATAATTCTCATTTTTCAATCTTTTGATTATTTATAATAATATGCAACACACAGAATGAAGAAGCTGGACAAATATGTTTTTTAAAAAACTCAACTTTGTTCACTGGGTTTTGAAGAAAGTTCCTTTTAAACCCTTAGTAAGCACATTATTCAGCCAAAACCATGAACATAATTTACAGTGGAGAAGCCCTAAAGAATTCCTCTGAGAATATAATCTACAAAGAGTTTCATATAAGTAGTGGGTTACAGAACTGAGAGAAAAACTTCTTAGGGGTTCTAAGTCTTAACATCAGATTCTCTCCACACAGACAAGTGGAGAAAAAATCCTATTAAAAAATTCATGACCTAGGATTATCTTGCAGTTTTCAGTAAAATTATTCTCTTTGGGTTGTTTCTTGGGTTTGTTTTTTTTTTTGTTTTGTTTGTTTGTTTGGTTGGTCTTTTAACAGATGGATGTTTTATTCCTTCTTGCAAGTTCATTCTGTATTCCAATACCTTGCATTAATTATTCCTTGATTCATCATGATACATTCATGTTTTCATTGCCAAAATACTAGAGCTGAATATTGGCCCCAGACCAGTTATTCCTGGGTGGAGAAAAGGAGTTCTAAATCCACTTACTAGATGAAGGAAGAAAAAGCCTTGCATAGTACTTCTGAAACTCAGGCTCATTGTGATGGCTACTTTCTCTTGCACATAATTGTGCTGAATATTTTGAGCTTGTCAGCTGTTGTAGTTACTATGTAGTTCACTGCTTGGCATCACTAAAAGATAAAAAGAAATCAAGACTTTATAGCTACAGAAGTGTAGATAAAATACAAGATTTTAAAAAAGGGAACATCTGGCCTACAGTTCAAAAACTCAGAATAATTCTGAAGATATTCCTGGACATTGTGAAGTTGCAAGACTTGCAGGTTACACAGTTTTATCTCCCCTTTCATGCTGAAGGAACACCTGACAAAGTTAGGAACATGTACTACTAAGGCATCTGTGCCTAATAATAACATTAAGAAAACTCCTAAATAACTTCCTATTTCACAGTCCAACTGAGAGGAAAGAATAAAGTCTTCTGAAATATCTTCTGAAATTCCTTATAAATGAAAGCAACTTTTTTTCATGCTGTGCTTTCATAACTCCTTACTGTCAAAGGCAAATCTTAACATGTCCAGACTTAAATGTAAAGAAAAAAAGGAAAGGCATAATTTTTCTGGTACAAGTTATGACCTTTTGACATTGCTTTCAGTGGTCTTCAATTTCTTTTAATTCCTTCCAGACTTTAAAGCCACGGTATCTAATCAGTTATTTCTGTTCCTATTTCTGCTTATCCAAAGAACGTGTTCCACGGTACTCAGTTCTTCAGCTGGACTGTGCATCTGCTGAGCAGTCATGTTTGGGAAAGGAGGTGTTGTGAAAAGGTTGCTGTTTTTGCAATAACTTGCTGTCTGCTTGAAAAGAGTTAAGTGAATTCAATTTAATTTACTCACCACACTGAAATTCATGGAGGTGTAAGATTAAATTTGTTTTTTATCAAAGATACTATAAATAAAATATACCTAAGGAAAAGGTAGTTCAGTATTTATAAGGTTTTCCACAGTGCTTTCAGGACAGATTGAAAAAAACACCTACACTCAGATATCCATTAATAGACACCTCCCTAAAAACATGTTTCTCAAGACACTTGAGAAGTCCAGAGACCCCATAACAAGCAAACTCATGCTCTTAAATCAGATAAGCTAAAGGTTTTTTTCCAAAACATTTTTGATAGCATCTGATATTTTTATCAACTTCTTTATAACTGGAGTTTAACATTAATCAGAATGAATTTCTATAGCACGTGGAACAATATTTTTTCTTTTATTTACAGTATAATTCCTGTATTACTAAACGGTGACACTTTCACATATAATTGTATTCTACAGGATTACAGTTTTAAAAAAAAATCCATCACTGGTTTTTATTACATGTGGGATTTTTAAGACCTGAAGATGTACAGATAATTCTTAATTTCCCCAACCTCTCTAATGACCTGAATGGTTGTATTATTGGAAAAAAAGTGTCATATGTTACACTAATGGGATTCTTAATAAAGTACCTAGTTTGATTTTTTTTTGGTTTTTCTAACTTTTAAGGTAAATTCGGATACAACTGGAGGGGAACCTCACTATGAAAGCAGCCTATGCTATTTATAGTAAGTTTTCTCTCTAGTGCAAGACAGTGAATGTTTGCCAAAAGAATTGTACATCCAGGAGGGTTTTTGAAATATGAAAGATACTTTTAAACTATGAAGAGAATTATAATTTTTGCCTAATATTTAGTAACCTTCAGATAGTGTAATTCCACTTCAGATCCTGGAAAAACATTCCGGAGACAAATATTAGTCTACCACTGGATAGTGAAGAGGAGGAACAAAATTACATTTCAAGGGGAAACTGTTTTAATTAGTTACCTTGTACACCTGCACAGCAGTCACCTTCAGTACATTGTGCAAAGTGTTACACCCCACAACTCTGTTTATTCTTGCTACCATCAAATTCTGAGTCCATAAAGCAAGAAGCTCAAGATTACTCCCAGGCATATTTAGATCACCCTCCATTTATGCTGCTGTAGTGCAGAAAACTAACTTAAAACACCCTTAACTGGTTGACTGTACATGCCACAATAATAGTCTCTGGAAACACCCATGGCACCCTAATCCATAACCTTTATAACAAAAGAATCCTTCATGGATGCTTCATTCTGTTACATTTCAGGATACATGAACAAACAGGTGGACAGGGTCCATTACTGCCCTTTCATAATTGCATTGAATCAGGGAAGGCCTCACTATGATCCTGAAAGAAATCCATTCATATCAAAAAAGGAAGGTGAATCTATTCTCACAGGTAGTTGCATTTCTGTATCTGTACTTCTGCAGTCTAATCAATTTTCAGCATTTGGAAAGAAAGCCTGATTACATGGAAGCAGACCTCAGCGATCTCATCACCAGCCCAGCAGATAAAAGCTGCCTGTGCAGAAGCTTACCAAGCACTATACTAGAACCCCATAGTTGTTGAACCACTTGGCATGCAAAACCATTTACCCTGAATCCTACATGAGAAATCAAAGATCAGATTCTGACCCTGTAGCACTGGCCCTTCCTTTGCTGAAGCAGAACAAGCTACAAGCTTATAAAAACCTTACAATTCTGGAAGAAAACAAAAGACCATTTGTAATGCCAGCACTTAGAAGAGCTGCTCAGTGACACCAGTTCCTCACCCTGTAGATGTAGAGTCACTGCTCACTGCCACAACTCTCTGATGTAATCTAACGCAAGTAACAGTGCAAACTCCTGACCTCAGTGACACTGCTACTTTGACAGAAGCCCAAAAAAGCTGGACTCTGTAAAAAGCAGCAAGTGCAGAACTCCTTGCTGCCAAATAAAGTCAGCTCATAAAGACATGTTCTAGAAGCCACCACTTGTGAAAAATGTCCAGCTTGATGAAATACTTGTCAGGTCTAGTAACACTTTTTTTGTGAAGCGGATGACATGGCAAAGACTGTTTTTTATTGTCCTAGGACTCAAAAGCTCCAATACACTACACAAGAAAAAACTCATCACTGCACACTACAGCTTATTTATTAAATGTGTGTGGTAAGGTGAATGCCAGCCATTTCAGTTCACTGTCTACATGTTCCAAATTCTGACTTGAAATTCAGTTACTCAGAGGGTGTCTTCTTTTTTAGTTCAAGCTGACCAGATGGCTGAGGTACCCAAGACAGAGTCACTTCTGTGAGAACCTGGAATCCATTTTATTGTCCTTTCCAGTCTGAAAAATAGTTAAATTTCCTTCTCCTGAAGACATACCAGAGATCTGATTCTGGATAAAATAAGCCTTGCTGATAGGAAGTAATTTATTACAGAAATGTACTCTCAAATCATGGGCTCCACCACCTATGTGGCATTTGGATCCATCAACTACATCTCCAGCATGTGCAAGACCATTTGAATAGGGCCAATCTAATTTCACAGTGTTACTGTGACAACAGATCCATTCTCACTCACAGACCTCAAGTAAGTTTTGCATTAATCTCTACTTAGCAAAGGTATGTGAATTTGGCTACAGATAATACATGGGAGGATGCTGAGAGCATTAATACCTATTCACTCCTTTAAAAACCCAAAACTACTCTAAGATCTAACATAGTAATGCAAGTAAAGAATGTGTAGTAGGAAAGATGGTGCCTATCAGTTTCAGTTCATTCACTTTGTATTTTCTGCAGTAGCAATGTGTTTTGCAAGTGAAGGGGTTTCATTTTACTGACCTTGGCATTCATCAGGACCATACTGTGATTTATATCAAGAATTCCAGGCCTTTATCTGATCTTATAAATAAATGTAAAATACATAAAACAATTATCCTAGTGTAAAATTGAATTTTATCTCTCTGTAATCAGCTTTTGTCTACAATACATATTTCTATGTTTGAATACAATTCAAAATTAATAATAGATATAATTTATTTTCTGACTTTTCATTATCTTGACATTTTAACAATCTTTTTTTTATATACTCAGGCTTTAGTTTTATCTAGGGCTTCAACCCCACAGTTCCTTTTTAGACATGTACAATGTGTCTTTCAGAATATCCATTCAAGGAATAAGCCTGCTAAAAGAACACACTGGCCATTTAACAGACCAAGAAAAATTATTAAAAAAACCAGGGCTTTATAACAAAGAAAAACACCAGATTAAAAGAGAAAATTTAGCACTGCATGTAAATGACAGGAAAAAACACATATTAGAAGAAATCACAAGTTACAGTGAAGAATTAGAAGTAAAAAGAGTTCTGAAATTGGTGATTCTGGAAAATTATTAACAGACAGCCAAGATGTAATTTTTTAATAGCTAAAAGAGACAACCAAGGAAGTCTTCTTCCTATTAAAAGGCAGTCACAACTTTATATTGAATGGCATAGCATTAGTAATTTAATAGAGATTATTCTTATCTGGACATGAGGCTTTCAGTACTTTACAAGCAATTTTTTGGCCTTAAATGTAATTTATGCAAATGCACCCATCTAATAGTTCACTTTCTTTTCTTAATTCTATTAATTAACTTCAACTAACAATCCTCAATGTTTTACTATCTCAAGACATACAATACACATGTTGCCTTCAAAGAAAGTACATCTCAAATCAAGTTCTCACCACCATGTAAGGCTTAAGTAGACTTCATAAGCAAGTGCCACAGTTGACACAGAAGACTTCATTTAAAGCAAAAAGCTCAGAAGTAGAGCTGGTCAAAAAAAAAAAAAATAAAAACACAGACATACACAATACAGCATTAGAGAATATCCTAAAAGGATTGAAATGAATAAATACAAAGAATGTAATGACTATGACTATATGGGCCGACAGCAGAAGTGCCACTTTCCATGCAGGGCAAGAAGTCCAGAGCCACTCTGCACAAAGCCAGACTGGCCACACCACAGCTGTTAGTGCAGCAGCAGCGGGATTCCTTCACGGCTGCTCGCTGGGCCTTTGTGATTAGAGGAGGAATGTGATAACCACGGTGGTCTAGACTGCTACAAGTAAAAACAACACGCCCCAAAATGAGCGGTCCTTGGTCTGAAGTGGCTGTGGTCAGGATGAGGCATGTTTAGGAGGCAGTCCCTCGAATACCTTCTGATAAACACATGTGGAGAAAA